ATTTAAATATATATACCACATTTATATGTTTATATATTTAAATGTGTAATATATATTTAAATATGGAATTACATATATAAACATACATATATACACATATATACATATGTGTGTGTGTGTGTGTGTGTATATATATATATATGTATGTATCAATGTACGGGAATCTTTAAAGAAAATTGAGGCCAAAATCTGTTAATTTTAACATCATAGGAAATAATTTCTCTGTATGTGGAACCTTGATAAAATAAAAGATTATTGACACTACCATTTATTTGGGGGTCTTTTTCAGTATCTTTTACCTGTCTTGTTTGCATGGACAATTGTTAATTTTTACATTGTATTTCAGAAGTGTGTAAATTGGTTGTAGGAGACTGTTGGCATGTTTTCCCACAGGAACATGTTGTTAACAGTAGTTACATTTTTAGACCAGTGCACAATAGCAAGGTCTGATGATGAAGAGCCTAACCATTGTCTGTAAAACTGTCCTATTTTAAAATGCATTGAGGTTTCAACCAGTAACTAGCTTGGTTTCTGTGAGTGGTGGAGATGGGGCCTAGAAAAAAGAAACATGGGCTCTGTGGGCTCCTGGGGAGATAGTTTTTATAATAGAAGGGGGAAAATAGGGTTAAGTACAAAGCTCTGGTAGTGAGAGCTCTTGCAGAGACTGTTTCAATTAGGTCTATAGGGAATAGGAACTTCAAAGGACATCACCCCTCAGGAAGCCACAGTATTAGCTCTTGTCTGTATTCTGTCAGGATCAGAGAAGAAGTGTTACTTGACATGGAATGTGTATTGATTATTTCTTGGGAAGAGTCATAAAGAACAGCCTGCATCATGCATAATGTGAATTTTTTGTTAGTTAGTGGTGTTAGAATTTGTGTACTTGTTTGGTTGATTTTTGGTGAGTGGTTGCTCCTTTTCGGAGGAGTTGATTATAGACTTTTCAAATTGCATATTCTACTAAAACTCTGGTATTTTTATTTTGGAGTTGATTATAGACTTTTCAAATTGCATATGCTATTAAAACTCTGATATTTTTATTTCCTTATAGCAATACTGGTTTTGTTTAAGACTGTTAGTTTTGAAAGTAATACAGTTCAGTAAAGAAATGTTTGGAATTAAATCCAAAACCTTAAAAATTTAACCAGGATGGCACATATATCACACATTTGGAAAAATTGCTCTTCCATTAATTTTTCATGGGACTCTGTAGTAATAGAGGAAAGAACTTGAGCTTTGGAGGCAGATGAATCTGAATTCCAATCTAACCATCCCATTCTGTCTGTCTGGCCCAATGCCTGTTAACTAAACTCTTTAAACCTCATTTTTTTTCATCAAAGTGGGAGAAAAAAAAATCGTCAAGAGTTTTTATGAAAAGAAAATGCTGTGTAGGGTTTTAAGCACTTCTCAAGGGGTTTCATACATTTCCCATAATTACCATCATGCCCTTTTCTCTGTCCCTAAATTCTGAATTATTGTCACCTGTGCTGAAACTTTGGGATTTAGATAGCCATGACCATTGCTCCAGTTTACCCTGTTATGAGCAGTTTTTCTTAAAATTTCCTCTCTAAATCTGATCTTTTCATCTAAGTGTAGTGGAGCTCTCGCTCCATACATTTGTATTCACAGATAGACTAATTCAGAGATAAGGTATAAGGTTATATTTAAGAATGCTTTGAGTGATAAGAAGAAACAAATATTTTCATTCATTGTAACTGGCTACTGAGGTGTTTCATTGACTTATTATTATTATTATTATTATTATTATTTTTACTATTTTGAACACTTGTCTTGGTAGGAGTAGGTTCAGTTCATCCAGAATTGACTACAAGGTAGTGCATTACATAGTGCTGTAATGTGAAAGTCCTAACGATATACCACAGAGTCCCACCCTACTCCCATGGACTTATTTTCAGGTGGACAAGACAGGTATGTGTGGAAATTGTGATGAGAAAGGCATAAGACCATTAAGAATGGGATAGTTGTGGTGGTGGTTTAGTGATGGATCTGGTAAGGCCTTGTGTAGGAGGTAGAATTTGAGCAGAGCATTAGAGAGTGGTAGTATTTTCAGGCAGAAATGAAAGGAATATATTTTGGGTGAATGGGGCCAATATAAGCAAGCATGAAGGTGTACTGCAAAAAAAAAAAAAGAATATGGTATTGCCAGGGTATAAATTTGTGATGTAAGACTTGGGGCAAAGCGACAAATGAGATAGGGAATGCATTAAAGATAGGTGAGGCCCAGATTTTATGGGGCTCTTAAAACTTAAGGGTTCATTTTTATTTTATAAATGGGACTTACTGAAGGTTCTTGAGAGACATGAGTGATGTTATCAGACTTGCACTGCGAGAACTGTTGTGTTTAGGATGGATTTTTTTGTTTTTTAGATTTTTTGTTATAGGGCACATGCGCTCACTGGAGAGAGACAGAAAGTGAAGTGAAAAAAAAAAAAGTCACCCCTCCCCAGGGGTGATAACGCGCTACAATCCTCCTCTTCCATTCTCGCCTCAGGAATTTGGCCATGTACGCATGCACTTGTGCCTGGCATGTTTCTTAAGCTACCGAGTCTGGGACTCAAACCACAGAGTTGGCCATGTGGGAACCAGTGCCTTACCACAGAATCTGCTGGCCCTAGGATTTTTTAAAAAGAATTATTTTACTTACTTACTTACTTACTTACTTTATTTATTTAAATTTGACCAGGGAGAGAGAAAGTGAGAAAGCACGCTGCCAGGTCTGGGACTCAAACCGTGGATTGGCCATGTGGGAGTTCCAGCACCCTTAACCACCACGCCACCTGCTGGTCCCCTCAGGATGAATTTTAATGGTGGAGATACTGAAAGTGAGGAATACCAGCTGTTAGGGTATTGTATTAGTGGAAGTAGTAGTGAAAATTTTGAATTACAGCAGAAGATGTACAAAGGAGGTAAGGGATCAGAGAGATCTGGCAGAGGATAAATATTTAGAATTTTGTAACTGCTTTTTTCTTTTTTAAGAGAGAGATTTTTGCTATAGGGCATGGTGTTCGATGGAG